CTTTTTTTTTTTTTTTTTTTTTTTATCTCAAAGCTCCCCTGTAATCACTCTACCATCTCCAAATTATGTAAAGTGGTTTAGGGTTTAATGCATTAAAGAGTATTATAGGTTTTATCCGACTTTGTCTTCAAATATCCAATCACTAACCTAATATGTAGAGCATGGGAGTCTGTGCAAAGAATGTCAAGTGTCACATCCACACGTATAAGTGAATCAAATCCTGCACCAAATTCTCAGCTCCTATGCATACTTATTTCAATATTCTCGTCATAGCCATCAAAGAAATCAAGCCCACATAAGCATACAAAACAGTTAAAAATAGCTATGGGAATTAAATAAAAATCGAAATTTTTTTATTTAAGTTTTTAACACACATATAGTCACACAAAGAGCAGTAAAATTGAACAGATATTGATGAATAAATATGCTAGAATTATGCTGCTCTCCTAAACATATTAAAATATTGTCCTCAATGTTGAAATTAAATAGAGGTTGGGTGCAGGCATAATTCGAAGAATAAAACACATTAAGAAAAGAAAAGGTCAAGGTGGGTAACAGGAACTCCCCTGATTAGCATGGAGGTGGTGGTGGAAAATTGGGGCCCGCATCCTCCTTTTGGCCTCGAAATGCATGAATTGAACGCCTAGTCACCCTAGCATGAATTCAACACAACACCACTCATACTAGACACATTTTAAACTAGCTAGGACCATGCAATGACCTTTTGTGATGTAACTGAATGGTAATGACCTAAACTACTTATGAATAATAAAAAAATGCAATTCCTAATCCAATGCATAAAGCGAAAAACAAAAGGGTGGATACATTGGGTTGCCTCCCAACCAGCATTAGTTTATAGTCAATAATTCGACTTTTTGGGTGGTATGCTTATGGCGGTTTAAATCTAAATGTTTCACCCTTGCACTCCTTGCAATTTTTGTCCTTACATCGTTTTGTTTTTGCTTCTGACAGTTTTGTTGAATTCCTGGTTCATCTTCATCGATGCAGTTACACTCCTCGAGACCTAATGGTTGTTTGGATGTATCATGTAACTTAAAAGACTTCTTGTTCCTCATCCACTCTCAATGTTAGCCCACATTTCTCCATATCAATCAAAGTTCAACCAATTGCTAAGAATGGTCGCCTTAAGATTATTGGAATATTCCTGTCTTCTTCATGTCCAGGACAATGAAGTTTAACGGAAATATCAATTTGCCCACTTTTAGTAGCATATCTTCAACCTTGCCTCTTGGATATTTAATGCTTCTATTGGCCAGCTACAATAACATCGTCATTTTCTTTTGCATCTCCTAATCCCGATTTTCTGTAAACAAATAAAGACATTAAGTTAACACTTGTACCTGTATCATATAAAGCATTGAAAGATCCAACTTCTCCAATTGAAATAGGTAAAGTGAAACTCCCTGGATCCTTGAGTTTTGAAGACAGTTTGTTTTGAAGCATTGCACTGCTTTCCTCTGTTAGTGCCACAGTTTCAAATTTTGGAAGCTCTCTTCTTTGATATCATGTCTTTCAAGAATTTTACATAGCTTGGAATCTATCTTATTGTGTTGATGAACGGGATATTGATGTGGTGTTTCTTTAGCACATCCAGAAACTTCTCAAACTCTTGATCCAGCTTATGTTTCTTCAACCTTTGTGGGAATGGGATGGGTGGCTCGTACGAAAATTGGAAAAATCGCACTTTAGTCGTAATCTTGCGACCGCATGGTATTAAGCCATGCGACCGTATGGTTTACCCAGTTTTGGCTTTTGAATTCCCTGTGTACTCTTGTGCAACCGCAAGCCCTTTTCTACCATGCGACCGCATGGTAGAACCAACCTTTCAATTGATGCGTTTTGGTTCTCAATCACGATCTTCTTCCATTTGCCCTCTTTTCTTCATTTTCTTTCTCCGTCACTCCATTATGGCTCCCAATTGGTACTTGGCTCTTGTTCAATTTCTCGATTCTCCCTTCGGGTCATCTTTTAGGTTTGTACAACCTCATCCTTGAACTTTTTTTTCTTCCGTTATGACCCTTTTTCATGTCTTTTCTCTTGAGTTATGTCATATTCATCAATGGAATCCTACAAAACAAACTTGTATAGAATTAAGTAATATTCACACACATTGATAAACAATTAACCATGTTTTGTGGTCAAATAAGTGTGTAAAAATGCACTTATCAGCAATGGCCAATGAGCATGTGTGGACTTCGACCTTGAACCCATCGAAATGTAGATCATTCTCCTTGCAAAGTCTAACAATACTCCTGGGGTCCAAGACCCGTGTTTCATACTTCAACCTAACAATTGTCGAATCATTTTCTAATGTAGGAATGAAGGGTTCTAAATTTTCAAGGACAACTTACAAAAATATCCTTAAAATTAGGGGTCTTTTGAAAAATCATATAAAAAGTTTTTTTTGAAGTAAAAAATGCTGCGTGATATTAAAAAGTGACACAATGTCATTTTTCTTATACAAAAATTGTCATTTGTTAATGAAAAAAAGTGACACATGTCACTTTTAAAAGTTAAGTGTCACTTTTTATTAGAAAATGACTTACAATATCACTTTTATTAAAAGGTGGTGTTTTCTCACTAAAAAAATAATAGAAATCAAGAAGGTGACTAAAAAAAATAAAAGTGACAAGCACTAAAAAAAAAGTGACGTACTAGAAAAAGTGACAAAAATCTAAAAAAGTGTCAGAAATTTAAAAAAAAATGACAAATTCAAAAAAGTGACACAAATTTTTAAAAAAAAAAAAAAAGGTTACACGGATTAAGAAAAGTGACAAAAAATAAAAAATAAAAAAAAGTGACAAACACTCAAAAAGTAACAAAATTAAAAAAAATGACAATCTCAAAAAGTGCAAAAAAATAATAATAATAAATAAAAGTGACAGAAAAATAAAAGTGACAAACACACAATATCACTTTTTTTTATTAAAAAATGAAATAAAATGTCTCTTTTTATTTAAAAATTGATGTTTGTCACTCAAAAAATGATAGAAATTTATATCTAAAAGAAATTCTTATAAACAAATTAAAAGTTTAGTCAAAGGTGTATTGTTCAATTAGAAATTGAATGTGTTCGACATTTTAAATAAAAAGTGGCACAACATGTTACGTCACTTTTTAATGAAAGTGTCGCAAAATGCAAATTAAAAAAAAAATGTACAAACACAATCATTCTTCATCGGAGCTTGTTAGTCCAATACAAATCATCTATCACTGAACATTTTCAATACAATTTATAGGTTATTTTGTCATCAAATACATCTTCATCTCTACCTCTATCAACATGTAACATATGCTTTCATTTGACACTCAATCATTGTCTATATCTAGGGATGGCAAAAAAATCTGTTCAACCCAATACCCGTGGAACCCTGACCCGAATGGAACGGGGAATACCCGCCTAACCAGGTACATGGGACGGGTATGGGTGAGGGTCATTGCTCCGAAGCGGGCATGGGAAACATAGTCCCCACCCCGTTACCCACCTCGTTTAATATTTATTTCAAATATAAGTTTTTATCAAACAAAAAATAATAGATTTATCACCATTTTTAAAGAGAACATAAGTAGTTTTTAACAAATTAATGAAAAAGTAATAATATTTATTAACTAAGGACATAAAAAAAATAAAAGCAAAAAAAAATGAACAAAAAAATAAATGGGACGATAAATGGGACAAGAGACTTGCCCCGCCCCGCCCCGCCCCACCCCACCCCATCGAGACCTGCCCCGCTCCCGACACATTCCCAACTTAAACGGGTATGGGGCGAGAAACAATCCAGTGGGGCGGGTGGGGAAGGGTGCGCCGACCCATACCTGCCCCTTTGCCATCCCCAGACAATTCTCATCATCTATGTCCATCTCTCTTGTGGCATTAAATATGAAAGCAATTCAATAAAGTGACAATTTAAAAAAGTGATAAAACTCCAAAAAGTGATGGCACTAAAAAAAATGACAAATACTCAAAAAAGTGACAAACAAATCAAAACATTAGAATATGTTGGATGGTTGATTTTCTTTTGTGTTCTTTTTTTGTAATTATATTTTACTTCTATTAACTAATATATTAACTTGGAATCGGAAGACAAAAATTCAAAAAAGTGAGAAAAAGTGAGGAATGCTTAAAAAAAAGCTCATAATATTAAGTTGATTATGATTAAGTTTTAATTAAACTATGCTTCATTTGCAAATGGATATGACTTTAGGCAGGTGCCTAGACAAAGCAGCAGTTCTTGGTGACAATGCAAATCCCACCCCATGGATAGTTTGTATAATGACACAAGTCGAGGAAATTCAGGTTCTTACAAGAATGTTGTCAATCATAGCCAGCACAATCCTATTGAACACTTGTATGGCACAACTCCAAGCATTTTCAATACAACAAGGCTCCCTAGTGAACCAAAGACTTGGCTTCTTCCAAGTTCCTTCATCTTTGATATTATAGTTCAAGAATCTTCAACATTAGCAACATATAAATGATTGCCAACTAGAACTGCTGTTGAAGTTGTTGAACCATCATCCCTTTAAGTATCTTTTGCTGGCTCCAAAAGAGTCTGTCAGTTTGTTTATATGTTTCACCTATGATTTTATAATGTATTAGGTGTATCTGTTATATATGAGAAAGAGGGAACAAATAGCCAGTTCCCCATTAACAATTCATCTTCATAGACTTTGATGTGCTTAAACATGCAAAGTAAGATAAAATATTTCCAGTCCACGAACAGCAAAAGCTATCTTAGGGGCTAGGTTACTGCTATTTGTTTTATCCAATTAAATAAATTACCAACTACGACGGCCACTAAAGTTACCTTTTCAAAGCAAACAAAAAATATCATGTCCCTGACGGGCCCTCAACTCCAAATGATTTTTCAACTATATTCCATTTATAATCACTGTGATGAGCAACACGGGGATGAAAAAACGATATATGTAATCAAAACCAGCTAATGTAATCAAAAGTGACAACACATCATTGGACAGTTTAAAAAAAAAAAAAAAAAAAACACTTTCTTGCCAAAAAACTTTTTGAACTTCAATGGGATGTGCACAATGATGTCAACCCTACGATGTATACTTAGCATTATTCTTAAACGATATTGAGTTCCGATTATGTGGACACTTCAATTGTCTACTGACCATGGTGTTTGATTAAGGATTATAACTGCCCCTAGCATACCTTATTTCCACAATATAGGGAATTGTAATCCCAATCTCGCCACTTTATGCTTTCTCAAGAGTAATCAATATTAAATTTGCCACTATATAGAAGCACCAGCTAACTGCAGTTTATCCAAATTGCCCAACTGATAGTTTCACCTCTACAATAAAATGGCTAAAATACAGAACAAGATTTACATAATTTAACCAAATTCCAAAACACAGGTTTGGCTATCAAAAACCTCCTCGAAATTCAATAGTAGCAATGCCATTGAAAACTATGACCACAACTAAATATGTTTTTAAAAAGAAATCAAGCATATTTAACAATTGAATACACAAAGTTATGCATATACAAGAAGCACGATACCATATCACTATTTTATTTTTTCACTGAAAAGATTTAAGAACTTCAAGGCCATAACTGTGTTATGTTGAAACAACCGTCCATCTAAAACTCTTGGTCATATATCATTTGTATAGAAAAATCTGTTCAAAATAGTTGTAAAAATAATACTGAAACTCATTTATTTGCAGATAACGAAAACAATTAAAAAAAATAAAAAATTAGTACAAGACCTTTGCCAACAGTTCTCAATGATAGAAGCCCGCTGTGGATCAATGTACTTTGGAATCACTCGATGTGGGTTGAGCTCCAATTACCTAGATAATTCAAAGATGCTGGTCAACATGCGATTACACAAGTATTTTAAACCAGATCTAGGAAAATTATACCAAAAACTGATCTTCGATTGAATGAATAGAGAGAGAAAGATAGGATTTGATTATGGCTAATCGTGAAAGAGAGTAGTCTATAATCGGCCAGAATCATAAAAATCACAGGAAATTGATAGAGATAAAACACAGATTTAGATTTGGGTTGGTGTTGAACATTGTTTTTTTTTTTTTTTTCTCACCGTAAAATGTACTGGTTTTTAATCTATAAAGTGTATTGATCAATTTTCTAATTAAATGAAAGTACTGGGCCTAATTTTCTCAATTTTCAACCATTTCAAAATTCCGCCCAACAATAAAAAACTCATTTTTCATTTACTCAAAATTAAATTTGAGAAAGTAATTAAATGTACTATGATTATCTTCTCGTGGAGTAAATTGTGCTGAACCTTCGAAGTCTCGTAATCAACTATTGTATCTCATTTATATAAGTCTAATTATATTACTACTACAAATTTTAATTAGTATACCACATTTTAATCACACCACAATTAAAATATATTTATAATAACTACACCACAATAAATTTACAATTATACTCCTAATTCAATAAAAATAAAAAACTGAAAAAAACATAATAAAATTTTGTGGTGTACTTACCAACAAGTTAGTTCAAACACAGCATTATATACAATAGAGAAAAAAAATTGTATACATTATTTGTGGTGTAACAATAATTTATTTAAAACTTCATTTTGTGGTGTAATAATAATTCAACAATAATTCTTTCTTTTTCCTGATATCTATAACAACTGATGAGATGGTCATTTGTGATTCCATCTGCTCGCATAAAAGAGTAAATGACTGTAGGCCCGACTCCTCGAAATCCTCTTTTCACTAAGTTTTTGCTTATGGCTTCAGCCTTCGATGTCTTGATTGGAACCTGTCGTGAGTAGCGAAAATTACCTGTAAATAATTATTCAATTTAACTTCTAATGCAAAAAATCAAAGCCACTGGGATTCGTCATTCATGTATAGAAACATATCATCATCACCATCTTTTCCACACTAGTTAATATCTTCAGTCTTTCGCTGCTTGTCTAAGGACGAAAAGCCAACACCTTACCATACTTTCAATAATAATAAATCGTAGACGGCTTCTCATGAGGTGGCCGAGTTGATGAAGTAAGTGAGCGCGGAGGTCTTTGGTCAAGAGTTCGATTCCTCCTACCAACACTTTTTTGGTTAAACTTGTCGCACTAGGCTTGCCTAATGCGATTTATCTAGCTAGCTTGGTTTGCAGGTTATTGCATCAACTTGAGGGTTTACCGAGTGTACACCCGAAGGGTAGCGGCTGCGGATTCCATGAGTGAAAAGAAAATTGTAACAATGAAAATTTGTAGAATATATATTTATTTTTTTAGGAAAAATAAGAAAAAAGCAACAAAGTTTGGGCATACCTTTGAAATTGACGTGCATTTTCAATAATTGATTTAAGCTTAAGAAAGAATTAGGGTTTATATTTGTCGTGTAACAATAATTTATTTAATTAAAAAGTATATTAAAACCCTAATTATGTAATTTTACTTAAGGATATTTTAGTAAATAAGAAAATTGTAATGTGCTTAGTAACATTTGTAGTGGTAATATAATTACCCTTTATATAATTGAGCATTGTTGGTTACGACCAACTTAATTAAAACGATTTTTTCATGAATCAAAATTAATATAATTGATTATGCAGTCACTAAAGAGGAGAAAAATTATTGCGTTAGGACAGTGATGCAAGAGGATTCGAGTCGAGTGACGCTGACTGTCAGATAGTTCGTTGATGGTGCTGAGATACCATGAGATGGCGGATAGGCGTAAAGATGGAAAATAAATGCAATTTTTCCTTAATTGGGGTAATTTTAACATGTCTTTGGTAATTTGACCATAACTTTGGCTACGGTTATCAGAATCGTTATTATGACCCCAATCCGGAAAGCTATCTTCGGCGCGCACGTCGTGGCCGCCAATTTCGAAAAGTTCTTTGTGTTTTAATAATATAAACAAATTCATAAGGTTATGTTCTGAAAGAATGGTTTATTCATCTCTTATCCAAGTGGTTATTGTTTAAGATTTTATTAAAAATAGTTTGGCACTTAGAAAACTCAAATCATAGTGTATTATATACAAGGATTAGTTTATCAAGTTCAATCCATGCAAGGGTAAAGCTAAGATTTAGTTAGGAGTATGTCTTGGCTTTAGAATGACAATTGCATTTCAGAGCTTGAGTTAATGATTGTAAAATTTGAATCTGCAGGGTTAAATGGCCTTAGGGCAAAGAGCCATCAACATAATAGCATACATTACCTGTTGACCTTCTACTCATATGATCTGTTGTTTTTCTGCTCATCTGAAGTCCATCAACTGATGAGCTAGTACCAACCTAGAACAATTAACTGCATATCCTTTTTTTTTTTAATCAGAATATATGTATTTTATTACTTGTATAGATGTCAAACGAATTGGTCCAAGACGTCCTACATTGCGGATGTGCCAGATCAGTCTTTTAACTTTTCCTTGTTACTTTCCCAGAAGTAGAAAAGAAAAGTGCAAAATTGGTCTTAACGAACTCCAGGCTCAGGATAGCCCACCCACAACTCACTCTCCTTTTAATGTTTCTATCTTTGATTATTCCTTGCAAAGTTTTCTTCTAGTTTTGTATTGAGATTTGAGATGCATTTTAGTGTAAATGTGAACTGTCCTCGCTACTTGCACACTTTTATCTTTTAGAATCCAACCAACCAATAATGCCACCCCAACCCGCCTGTCTTCCATGTCTACAGTTTGGGTACCCTTCCCTTGCAGGTTGTTTTTCAGGGTACATTTTAGTCAAAGTGATTGTTACAATCACTTCTCTAGCAGCCTGCAGCCACCAACCCATCCATCCCAAGCTGTTAGGATCCGGACTAGATCTAGATCCACTTTATTGAAAGCAGAACAGTTCTAACACCACTTGTTGGGAAAAATTGGAAGGTTAATATGACACAATATGAAGTATTGATCCCACAAGTAAAAACAAAATCAAAATAAAGAGAAAGACTGACAAAGGAACCGAGTAATTTTATAATTGACAACCAATGAAGAAAATATTACAATCCAGCAATAATTCTTCTAGATCTCAAAAACTGGAAGAAAAGTCTAGTATTTATAGAGAACAATCCAAGCCCTAAAAGTAGAAGAGTTGTAAATGAAACAGAATGCCCAGAAGTTTCACAATTACATTCCAAATAGGATTCCAATTAATGCGGACTTAAACTAGAACACCTAATTATTTTCAACAAAGAATTCGGGTCACACCCAAATTCTAACACAAGCAAGCACCACTGCAGATCTACAAAAAAATAGACACACCGCCCAGAATAATTTTCTTTTCCACCATAATTGAAGTAGGGAATCTTGGTTGTGGCACTGGTGATCTTGCCTGGAATTCTATAGATAGATAAACATATGAATGTGGATTTCTAAGTCGAAAAGGTACCATTGGTGTAAATAGAACTGCATTTCCGATTTTAAAATCCCGAAATAAATTCAACAGTCTGTGGTGGCAGACGCCCTGGATGTCCTAATTCTGAATTTTCTCTGCAAATGAGTTGGGACAATTTGGCTACATGTTTATGTGTGATTTGAGGAGAAAGGAATCGAATTGTCTATGGCTCATAGTAGCGGCCCTGACTATGGATTAGGTAGGCAATCGTCTAAGACACGCTTTTGTGAGAGCCCAAAAAAATTATTACATATAGTTCATGAAAAATTACAATCAAAATAAAGTCCAACTGCAACCAATTCCAAACCAAATGGATCTATTTTATCTGAACCATTGGCAAAGCCATGGCTCCATAAAACTCTCAGATGTTCTGATTCCGCTCCCCTGTTCAAGAGGGTGTATTTTACACATTCAGCACTAAATGTTTGTTATTAAGGGTGTTTATTACATGTATTCATCGCTAAGTGTTTCGGAGTTGCCTTCAAAATTTAGGTCTGATTATGCTAAAATTTGGTTGAATTTTGTCCCTTCGGATTGTACATTTAAGTTCCGCTCTTCTTATTATGGCTTTTTATCATTGCAATGATATCCTGATTGAGAAATTTCGTTTATAGCGCCAAAATAATTTTTTATGTAAAATAAAACTTCTCTAAATTGGTGACTACTATTGGTATTCGCATACTAAGAAGTATGAAGTTTCATTGCCATAGTGGACTTATTGCTTAGTTATTTGGATAAATAGGATTAGTACTATGTTGAGCTATTTGTTTTAGAAAACCGATGGTGTTCAGTGAAAATGAAATCTATTTGTGACCTGGTCAATTTGCAACTTTTATTTGTTGTCTGGTTAGGGATGATGGGAGCCCTAATGGAACTCAGGACATTGTCAAACAATAGCAGCAATTTTATGGGGAAAATGGCATTGTAAGATTCAGCAAATTAAGCCTGTCTTCATTGTTGAGTGTGATGATCAGCAATTTTATTTCTTAGCGTTATATTTTTTTCGTAAATTCTCTTTTACTGCAACTGTTGAGACCCCAACTCAAGAAGCTCGACTTAGGTTTGTATTTAGGATCTCTTTAATTTGAATGATAACCATGAAATGGTCCTAATTGATTTTATTTCAGGGACTGCTTATATGCATGGTCTGAAGAATGCATCGGGAAATTTTGTTGTCATAATGGATGCTGATTTATCACACCATATTAGTTTTATCATCAAATACAAATGTATTCCAAGTTTGTTTGTGGGTCACACCATTGGTTCTCTTTTTGATACCTGTGATGTTGGAGCTTAGGTATCTTCATTGTCTCGAATCAAAATTTCTGGATTTAACTTAATCTCTTCCCTTCTTTTCCAACAAGCTTGGCTAAGCTTAACGGGGGAAAAAGTAAAGTTAATTTAAGTAACTCTTTATCTCCAAACATGTTTGATTACTTACTTTTTTTTTTATGGATAAAGTAACTCTCATTTTTCTTATCAAAATTAGTAACCAACTTATTTTCAACTTTGACCAATAAAATTGTTATTTATTCTAAAACTTACTGATATACTTGTACTTGAACTTTTTAAGCTTAGCCAAACATGCGAATTTACCAAATGGATCTAATTATGGATAAATAAATAATTCTTTCTCACTCTCCACTTGGACTCACTCTCCACTTGGAATAAAATGAAAATGATTGAGACATGGGAGAAAAAAGAGCATTAAGATCATTGTTGAAG